CACACCCACATTTACCCCATCCACATCCACCCACGCCCTCACTTATCCTCAAGTGAATCACTTACGACGAGCGTTATTTATTTTTAGAAGACTAACTTTATTCACACGAAGTAAAATAAGTGTAGCACATTTCTTTTTGTGATCTGAAGAGAATTTATTGAGAAAATCAATAACAGCTTGGCTATGCTATTGAATGATTAATTCATTGACTGATACATCAATGTTATTGCATATCAACATGTGCACAAGTTCAATTTTCAGGTATGAATTCAAATAAACTAAATGAATGACTAGAATTTTGATCTATAACGACCGAACAAATGAAAATCAAAACGCAAAGTTCTCATTATAGTTGGATGAGGGTATGGGTGTGCCCAGAGCTGCAACCGGTTCAGTTAAGAAAGCCAACGGAGCGGCGGAAATCGGAATTTCACTGGTTGAAGTTTTTGGAAAATCTTCTTTGTTGATCTTATTTTTGACAATAAAAACCAAGGTGTCACCTATCTTTCTATCAGAATTCGTAAAATAGTGTTCAAAACTGATTTTATTTTATAATCATATATGCCGATCTTTCTCCTCAAACAACTTCATTGTGTTCAATGTATCTTACGTGCACTCCTCAAGTATTTCGTACTGGTGGCAGTTTTATTTTCTAAAAATAATTTTTTAACAAAATTTGGCACTTTTTCTCCGAAATTTCACCGGTTAGATATGTTATTCCAACCGGTCGAACCCGACTGGTTTAAAAATTTTCCACCGGTTGCAGCTATGGGTGTATCATCAATATGATACTCATATCCACACTCTCAAGAGCATAGTGTTCTGTGACTGATCCTCACCTTCACCTTCAATAAAATATATGTGTGAGTGTGAGTGCGAGCATGAATGGGGAAAGATCAATACTCATTCATCCAGACCCTCAATTTAAGCATAAAGTCGATTTATTTTCAGATAATTATAGTAAATTTATTTGAAACAACAATAAAAGCAATCTATTTGAAACAACAATAAAAGTATTTTATTTGATAAGTTCATATAGAATATAAGATAATGTTTATTTAAAGTGAGTTAATTGAGTTCGAATTATTTTATTGATTGAATATATGTATTAGTCTATGGCTGGAATAATTCTTCGGTTTCGACGTTGAAATAATTTTATAGTTAAAACAGCAAGTACTCGACCAATAATCACGAAACTACCGTAAAATTGAACAAAATTTGCTATACCTTCAGCAACATTGGTAGTATCAGTATATGTATAAGTACATGATAATGGTAAACATTGATTAAAATAACTTTCATAAGATTTATTTACTGAAAATGTTTCGATCATTAATTGATTTACAATTGTTTCAATAGTAGCATTAACATCGAAATGAGTTGATTGTGAGCTATTCAGTGACTTAAAAGTATTTGTTGAATCAATACATTGTTGATCATAGAAACATTTTAATCTTGATTGAAAAAGAGAATCAAGTGGATAACAACCAGCGAACATACCTTGAGATGACTGAACACAGGTTTTCGACATTCTGCAAACACATTCACCATAACGAACCGATACTGCAATTAAATTTAAAGCGCCTTGATAATCAATAGCTGGGAAAGTTGATATATTAAAAATTGCGTTAGTAGACAATCCACTAATCAATTTATTTGCGAATGTTATTTCTCGAATCATTGAGAGAATATTGACGAACGAATCAGGTATTCTTTCTTTCAAGTCATTCACTATCACTTTAATTTGTTGATCAAATAAATCAAATGATAACAAATCAAGATTAATAAGATTATTTGTAATCAGTTGTGAAAGCGTATCATTTACTATGCTATAAGATAAATCACAAAATGAGGAAAGCAATTGGAATTGTGCAAATGCTGAATATTTAAAATCAGTATGAGTAAATCGATCAGCTAAATTTCCGCCATCATATAAATAATTAATCCAACGATCGGAGACGAATGAACTGGAGCAAATCTGATGAAAAGAAGGTTCAATTGTCATAAATAATCCGTATGTAATTGATATTTGTGAACAAGGACATTGAAGAGAATATTGATAACGTATTGCCAAATCTTTATAAGTCGATAATGATGGTTTATCAACTTCGACAGTTATTAACTGAGATTGAAACGTAGAAAATATGGATATAATACACAAAGCCGCTATAACCAGTATAATATGTAATCGGTTGATTCTTTGTTCTTGAGTACGAAAACTAAAGATATCTTTAATAAAACGCATCAGATTAATATCAAATAAACCATTCAATATGAGTTTTTCAATAACTCGAAGAATAACCAAAATGATGAGTTTATAAGCAAGTGATAATCCACCAAAAATACTAATAACTGTTGTTATAATAGTAAGAAAAGATTTTCGACTGATATATGCATATGTACATGAGAGTGGTGCACACGCCTTATAATAAGAACTAAACGAAATATTATATGACCATGAATCAATCATTAGTCGATTAAAAATTGATTGAATTGTTTCATATGGTGAATTGAGAGTTGAATTCAATGGAGAAAAGGGAAAATCGTTAACAGGTCTATCAATAAGCCGATTACGATGATTATTCATATCTAACAAACATGACTGACTGTAGAAACATTCCAAGGTTGATGCGAGCAATCCATTCACTGCTGTACACCCTCCAACGAAATTTGGAAAAGTAAAAAATCTCGAACTTGTGTAAGTACCGATAAAAGGGAAAAAAAATCCCAGTGGGTAAGAGCATGCGTCAGATAGATCACATGAACAATTAGAAAATTGACGGAATAGCATAGTGACTTTTTCTAATGATGGGTCCATCTCAAAGACAATGTTGCGAATACCATCTGTTAGATGATTTCCTTGAATAGTCGCTTGAACGAGTTGAAAGATCATTAAAAATTGATTTAGTGTAGTTGATTGAAAAATTTTAATGAATGAATTCATTTGAAATTGAAATAGTTCTGATTGAATAACTCCCAAATTGACTATTGTCCTATTAAGAAATGTTTGAACAGAATCAGATGTTGTTTGTTGAGAAGATCTACAAAATTGAGCCAGAATCGGCATTTGAGTACCACCCTGCATTAGTATGTCTTCAGGTACGATGGATGCCGCTGCTGAGTTGATTTTCATGTAAGTTAGCCAAGCGTCTCCTATAAAATCACTGGAACATACTTGATGATAATGAGGTTCAATGTTAATAAAAATAGAATAAGATATACTGATAGTATTACACGGACATTGAAGACTATCTGGATACATTCTTTGAAGGCGAATGTATTCAGATTCGGTTGGATTAAGGATTGTCTCACGATGATTTTCATTAATCAATGATGTATAGAAGGTTAATATATTGATTGAGATGATAATTAATACTATGTAGAGTCGGGTAGCATTGCGTTGAGACCACACTTGAATATTATTACTTGGATAATGTTTGAACATGTTTATTTCAAGAATAGTTTTTTTGACGAGTTCTTTCACTCTAGCAAACCGTTCCAACACTAGAAATTATTAAATAGAAAATAGATTTTTAATTGAAAACGACTAAAATATTGAGTTTTCTGATATAATGTTCAGTGTCTGTCTGTCTGTCTTTTATCGGATCAACAGTCGAACCGGATATATAAGTATATAAAGTTACTATAATGAGCTATTCGGAACTCGGTTAGCTCTTCTACAAGATAATACTTGAGATCCCTTTAGCTCTACTTAAACGCAGTACTTAGAACTAATTAGCCTCATGATAGATATATATCAAGGATTCATCTACGTCTACTATGGGGGAACTATCACAGACTATCAGGGACCCTTACTTCTGCTGAGTGATTATCTGCAACTCCTTTATATCTGAGGGTGGGTGGGTGTGGGTGTAATGGATATAATATTCAAATTCCCACCTACTCTCGTGTGGCTAGTCAGCTTTCTTGACCTCCTTCTTGTAATCAATCAGATTTCTTTACCAGATTTCTGTAGCCAATCAGACCCTTTGAGTCATCCTCATACAGCAAGAGGGTTTGATCTTGGGACTGTTGATATAGAATCATTCATGGTATGAAAAATCGCAACACATATAAGCTATGCTGCGATTTACTGTACTGTAACTGCGCCGCATTTTCATCGCAATGAAACACATAGATAGGGATGTACCGAGCCCAAACCCTGGCCGAGCCTCTCGGGCTCGGGTGTGAGGATGGGTGTAGGTGTGGGTGTGAGTGAGAGTGTGGGTGTGGGTGTGGTGAGTGCAAGTACTACCCTTTCCACTCTTACTCACGCTCTCACCCATTCTCACACCCGAGCACGAGCCGCTCGGGCTCTGTACATCCCTACACATGGGATCTTGCTAGGAAATTTTATGGACTTTTAGAATTCCCTTTATATTCTTAAAAGCTTTAAGTCTGAAGAAGCCCGGTGAAGCTTTATGAGTTTCCATGTAGTGTCTTGTAGTCTTAGGTGGTCGCTTAAAGTCGGTGCACTCTCCAGAATTCTGAAAAGTCCCAAAGAGCCCGTGAAGCCCCGCGCAGTCTTTTGAAATCTCATGTAAATCTAAAGTCTGTGCCGTTAAAGTCCGCTGTTCCCTCATCAGTCAGTCTAGGCAACACTGTCGATAAAATTGCAAAATTTTCAAGAATTGATAATTCTTCATAAGTTTAAATGAAAAATAAACTACTTAGTTTATCTAAAGACTAAACCTCATCTAAGATTCTAAGATGATTTTTTATCTGAAAATATTTTATAGAATGGAGAGACTCTATAGATACGAATATTATTGTACAGGAATAATTGATATTAGAAGTGGAATCGATCTAGTCTCTTCATGACCGGAATCAGACCGGTCACTCGTCAATCTCACTTTCCATCTAGAACCACTTTTTATCTCAGTGTAGTTATAATTAATTTGAAAAACCTCAATCGAAAGGAGGTTCATATCTATTATCCAGGAGCAGATATTAAGACTCTATAATCTTTTATGCACATTTATATTAAGTCATCGGCATGCTTTCTAATGTATTTTATAAGAATATTGCTATATAACTAAAAATACTTGTGTTTGACTAAATATTCTAACAACATGTATTAAACAACATCTAACTTACTAGAAATTCGTTCAGGTGGCTCAAGATTTTGTCCTCGTTGCATAATGAGATAAGTACAATGTGGAATAATAAAGCCAAATATGAGTGTTAATCCACTTAAGAGACCGATAAGTTTTTTTATTATCAAGTTATAACCATACTGTTTAACTTGTGTATATGTACATGAAATAGGTACACATTCAGTATAATATTTATCATATGATATATTTGATATCCATTCTTCTATCATTGCTTCATGAACTATTGAATCTATTGTCGAGTTCTCAGTAAATTTACTCTGCCAAGTTATATTTAGTGCTGTAAACTTCTCGGTTGTATTAAAATATGAGATTAGATAGTCTACGCACGATTGATTGTAGAAACACTCAAGTTGTAATAATTGAATTGCGGCCATTGGCGTACAACTGGCAAAAACTCCAGGAATCAGAAATTTATCTTCACCATAGTAATAATCGTACTCATATTCTGATGGTAGTTGCACGTAAGACTGAAATCTACAATCAGCGTATGTTCGACAAGAACACCCTTGTCCCAAACTATCTGTATAAAGCGAAGTTTGGCTGTTTTCTAGTTGATAACCATAGTCAGAATTGCCCAAGTACATATATAAGAAATCTGTTTGTAATAAAGATAAGAATTGATTCCTAAACATAATATTAAGTACTAGATCTAGTTGATTTGTAAAACCTTGAACTGCTGTAACTTGAAATTGTTTAATAATTTCTTCAATTTGTGCTCGAAAAACAGGTTCAAATAAAGCATATGAACTACTTAATGTACTTTCATAAAATGATCTAATACTTTCTTCAATACCAGACTGAGATAAATGACAATAACTCAAAAGAGCTTGAAAATAGCTCCTCCCAAACTTCCGAAAGTCTCCCAGAGTTTCTAGATACCAAGCACTACCCATATTTAATTCGTCAGAAAAAATGTTAATCCATCGATCTGAAACAAAATCACTTGAACATATTTGATGAAAGATCGGTTGAATTGAAATAAACTTATCGTATGAAAGAGAACTTCGAGAACAGGGACATTGGATATCCAAAGTAAGACTAGCTAATTGATATTTTGTTGGATATTCTAATGTTATAATTATTGTTTCAGAAGTTGATCGTAAACCAATAACAATAGCAGTAAGAGTTAATATCAAAACTATAAGATATATACGAGTAGCAATGATGTTTGAACGACGTTTTAGCTCATCTTCTCTTTCACCACTATCAGGATCTGGTTCAAATAAGTTTAACTTTATAAAATACGTTTTAATAGCATTCATTCTTAAACAAGAATAAAGACAAATGAATCCTTCACTTCTTTGTATAGTGAGTTAATATACTAAATAAGAAGTCTTTTGTTAATTAAAATGGAGAATATAATAAAGAAAATATCATTAAAAACAGTTCATGACTTTATAATGTATTCATTTTCTTTTTTTAGAAAAATCAACGTTATCCAGATGTTGTAGATATGATATTTCTATTGCGTATTGCTCTTTTCATAAGTCATGTCTTTTTTTTAGCAGATGCTCTACTCCGTGAGAGGCTATTTTAGTAGAATAATCATTAGAGAATATTTTTATTTTTCGCGGATATTTATTATCTTTAATTTTATCGATGAATGGAAATGCCATAGTTATCATGAGAAGTTTTCTAGCTAAATGTTTGGAATTTATTATTTGTTCTGTCATCAATAGAGTGTGTCAGAAGTATAACATAATATAGATAAAACTAATCAATTTCCAGGTCGAATAATTCGCTAAAAAACGTATAGGATCCGGATTTTTCCGTTGATTTTATAGAAATAATATTTCGGTGAATAGATCCGCTTCTTAAATTTACTCTATTCTACCTGGAACATGTCAGAATTGGCGTAAATCAAATGTGAAACAAACAAAGTTGTATAATTAAGATACAACTCAATCTGCTAATCTCAAGTCTTGCTATTCAGTGATCGATCTTTGTATCAAAGATAATTTTATGTATTTATCTATAATATACTTTCCATTAATTGAATAAATACGGAGTTAAACATCGCCGACATGTTTCATGTTATTCTATTTAAAATACAAAACACTTATCAAGGCTTTGCACAACAATAAAAGAAAAGAAAATGGCGATGTTGCTAGCTTTCTTTGCCTGCCTGGATAAAAAAATTGTTTTACGTTCTTTATTTTAATTTTCATTATAGCGTTCATGACTTTTCTCATCTGAAAAGTCAGGAAAACTATTAATAAAAGTGTTTACTTAATAATGTTCATGATATTCTAATAAGCATTCTGGTGAACGTTGAAAGGAAATTGAGTAGCTCTCACATAAAATATTATACTATTAATATAGTTACAAATTTTTTTGGCTGTATTTCATATTGATTTAAAAGTGTATCAATACTAATGTCGACAATGGAAGTAAGTAACAAACAGAGAAACTAAATTGAATTATTCGACAATTTGTAATAGATTCGATTTGTTGCAGCCGAATCGAATGAAGATATTAATATTCAGTTCATTCATTGAGTTTTCTAAATAGATAAAAAGCAACAAATTGATTACCTTAGGGCAATAATATTAGAGGCAATCAGTAATTAAACACTTTAGTTATACACGTTCACACGAAACGAATAACTGTTCATATCAGACGAGTAATTTTTTTATTAACGAGTATTGACATCAAGTTCATGCTAGGGGGAAACAGCAGACTTTAAGACTTCGAGAGATTTGGACAAGGAAGACTTCAGTTTTTCGAAAGACTTCAAAACATTTCAGAATACTTCGATAGACTTCAACAAACTTTACAGATTTCAAGGACTTCATAAGCTTCAAGAGATTTCAAAGACTTCAGATTTCAAGAGGCTTCAAACGGCTTCCAAAGTTTCAATAGACTTCTAAGATTTCAAAACACTTCCAAGAGTTTAAGATGCTTCATAAAACTTCCGATGAGCCTGGAAAATTCTAGAAGCTAAATAAAATTTGTGCTACATTGATAATAGCTATGTATTAAAAGACTTCACACGACTTCAAAGATTTTGCGGGACTTCATGAGATTTGCAAGACTTTAAGACTGTCTTCAGACTTCATAAAACTTCATAACACCTCACTAGCGTTAAATACTTAATCAAGACTTCATCAGACTTCATGCATGAAGTTTCTGTTGTTTCCTCTCGCTAGGCACATAGTAAACCTAAACTAAAGTTCGGATTCGAGTGTGGAACCGAACTGATAGGATTTAGATTCAACTATGAGGGAACAGCTAGTGGCGGCGCCAAGGGTGGGCTGGGGTGGGCTCAGCCCACCCTGAAATTATTTGAGCCCATCCTGGAATTTTTTCAGATCTTAAAAAAACCAATAATATTCTATCTGAGCCCACCCTGTTTGAAATTTATTAGGCCTGAGCCCACCCTAGTCAAGAATTCTGGCGCCGCCGCTAGGAACAGCGGACTTCAAAGAACCTCAAAAGACTGCGCCGGACTTCGAAAGACTTTCGAAGACTTCGCCAGCCTTTAAGAGGCTTCACTGGCTTTATGGGACTTCTCGAGACTGAACAGACTTTGACGAACTACCTAAGACTTCAGGACACTTCATGGAAATCTAGAAGACTTCAGTGGATTTTATTGGACTTCTTCAGACTTAGAGCTTTTAGGAATACGAAGAAACCTTAAAAAATACATGACATTTCCTAGCAAGAAACAGCAATAGCTTTTCGATGAAGATTATGAAAAAAATGTGCTGTTTCCAATTGTTTCTTACAGTACGTCTGTAATGGAAATACTTAAAGATGATGCGATTAATCTTGCCCTGGTGGTTTCACTGGTACGATAAATCGGTGACTACTGTCACCTTGAGAATTTCTTTCCATTTTTACCTAACGGAAATGAATAAATGAAGTGATTATACTGCCTCACAT